CGGGGCGGGCTCGGGGCGGTAGTGGCGCAGGGGGTGGGGCGAGGGGGCCGGGGGCGGGGGGGCCGGCGGGTGCTTGGGGGCCCCGCAGCCGTCTGGCTCGTAGGCTAGGCCCCGGTGGACCGAGCTGCGCTCGGAGCGGTCGCTCAGGTCCACCGAGCTGTCGCTGGGGGGTTCGATGGTGAGCAGCGGCAGGTGGGCCCCCCGCAGGCGGAAGTCCCGGCACTCCAGGCAGGGGGGGGCCGCGCCGGCCGGCCCCGTTCTCCCGGCTGTCCTCTCGCGGCGGGGCCCCCCAGAACTCGGGCCGGGGCTGGGCCGCCGGGGGGCCGGGCTCGGGGGGCTCCAAGCTGGGGGGCCGCTCCAGGGAGAGGGGGGAGGCCGGCACCCCCTCGTCCAGGTACAGGGTGACGTCGCTGAAGGAGGTGGCCGCGCTGTCCCCCTGCTGCTCCTTCGACTCGCTCTTCTCCAGTGGGCCGGGCCCCCCCCCCTCCGGCGCCGGCAGTGGGTGGCAGTTCAGGGCCTCGTCGATCGACTCCGCCAGGGATTTCACCTGCCGGGGGGCGGGGGAGCAGGTGAGAGGCGAGGCCCCACCCCTCCTCGTAAGCCCCTCCCTTCTGTACAAGCTCCACCCCTCTGCAAAACTTCCCATAAACCCCTCCCTTCCTAATAAGCCCCTCCCCCTATGCCGAATGGCCTATTAGTCCCTCTCCTCTGTACAAGCCCTGTCCCCTAAGCAGGCCCCTCCCTGGCGGGGAGGAGCTAAGAATGGGAGGGGAGAGGCATCCCCCAGTCCCGGGGGGAGGAGCGAAGGTTGGGGGAGGAGCTAAGATTGGGAGGGGAGGGGCATCCCCCAGTCCCAGGGGGGAGGAGCTAAGATGGGGGAGGGGATCCCCCAGTCCCAGGGGGAGGAGCTAAGATTGGGGGAGAGGCATTCCCCAGTCCCGGGAGGGCAGGGGGCTCCCCGCCCCCCCACACACCTGCTTGGCGAAGGAGTCCTCCAGCTCGGTGATCTCGCTGCAGAAGTCGCCGGAGGAGGCGTGGAGCGAGCCGCTGTCCAGGCCGGCCCGGCAGGAGCCCCCGTAGGGCAGCCCCCCGCGCTCCAGCAGGTGGGGGCGGGCGCTGGCCATGGTGCCCTCGTCCAGGGAGGCCGGCTTGCCCTCGAAGTAGGGGGCGGCGGGCGGCCCCTTGTCGAACTCCTCGAAGGAGAACTGCATGCGCATGTTGGAGAGGACGATGCGGCGGGACATGCGGCTCTCGGAGGCCGAGCTGCGGAGCCGCTGGAAGTTCTTGTTCATGCGGTACTGGCGGAAGGCCGTCTGGATGGTGCGGGCCGCCCGCCGGCTCAGAAACGAACCCCCGTACTTCCGCTCCAGCATCTCCACCTGCGGGGCAGGGGCACTGAGGGGGGCACAGGCTGGGAGGGGGTGCCGGGGGGGGTCACCAACCGGGGAGGTCCCGGGGGGCACAGGCTGGGGTGGCTGGTCCCAGGGGGAGGGGTCACCGCCCGGGAGGTGGTGGTCACAGGAGCGGGGGATCCTGGGGGGGCCATGGAGGGGGGCACAGGCTGGAAGCGGGGGATCCTGGGGGGGCCGTGGAGGGGAGAACAGGCCAGAAGGGTAGGTCCCAGGGGTGGGTCACGGGCAGGGAACAGGCCAGGAGGAGGAATCCCGGGGGCCACGGGGAGGGCACGGGCCAGGAGGGGGGATCCCAGCGTGGCCGCGGGGGGCGGGCACAGGCCGGGAGGTGGTGGTCACAGGGTGGCACAGACCAGAAAGGGCGATCCGGGGGGGGATGTGGGGGACACACAGGCCGGGAGGGGGGATCCCGGGGGGGCCGTGGGGGAGGCACGGTACCTTCTTGTCCTGGAGGTCGGTGGACAGCTCATAGCTGTCCGACAGGGCCTTCGAGCGCTTGTTCTCCTCCTCCTCCTGCTTGCGCAGGGCCACGCTGGCCGGCTGGAGCCGCGCCCGCTGGGCCCAGGGCAGCCCAGGGGCCGGGGGATGGCAGGCGGAGACGGTGGCGGTCAGGGGGCCCAGGTCGTAGGGCTCCCCGGCCTTGGGCAGCTCGGCCGCGCAGCGGTAGGGCGCCTGGCTGCCTGGGCTGTCCACCGTCGGCCCTGCCTCGCTGCCCGGCGGGTCCCCCTCCACGCTGCGGGGAGAGCAGACGGGGCAGGGGGTGAGCGGGCCCTGGTCTAGAACCCAGACACCCCCGTGTCCTGGCCACTCTAGAACATGGAGAGGGCAGCCGGGTCTAGAACCCAGACAGCCCACGCCAGCTCTAGAATCCGAATTTGTCCCCCTCCTGCTCTAGAACTCTGCCCGGCACGGTTCTAGAGCATCCATGGCCTGTCTCGATCAGGAACCCGGCCAATCCGCTGCACGGTTATCTGTAGAACACCGAGGATGAAGGCGGATCTAGAACACCGGCCGCTGGCCGCATCACCCCCTCTAGAACATCAATGGCCTGCCCCCCGTCTAGAGCCCAGACAGCAGCCTGTATTGCCAGCTCTGGGCCTATCCTGATCTAGAACCCAGCCAACCTGCTGTGTGATTGTCTCTAAAACACCAATAATACAATCTGATCTAGAACACCCGCCACTGGCCGCTCTGCCATACTCTAGAACATCAATAGCATCCCCCCGGTCTAGAGCCCAGACAGCAGCCTGTGTTGCCAGCTCTAGGCCTGTTGGTCACCGACTCTAGAACAGCAAGAGCCCGTCCCAGTCATGCACTGAGCTAGAACCTGGAGCATGCAAGTGCCCTCCTCTACCCAGATAACACCCCCTGCTCTAGAACCTCACGCTCTGTTGCCCAATGCAGTCCCCGAGCGGCGTTCTATGTGGCTGTTCCCCAGCCGCCCTGTCCCAGAGACGGCTGCATCGCCACACCGGGCGAGCCGTCCACGTACAGCGCTGGGGGCAGGGCCCCCTGTGTTGCACCTGGGGCCTGGCCATGTTTCTAGGCGGCCTGGGGGACGGGCTGCGGGGGACGGGAAGGGGACGGAGAGCTGGAACCCCACCCCACACAGAACCAGAGCAGGGTTCATTCTCTCCAGCAGGGGGCAGGAAGCACCCGAAGGCAGATGGCTCTGGGGAGCTCAGGGTGGGGGTCTGGGAGCAGTCGGGGGCAGAAGGCAAATGGGGGACTCAGGGGCAGACAGGGAGGCCGGGAGGACTAGGGGGCAGTTGGGAGGTCTGGGGGCAGACTGGGGGGCCCAGGGGAGTCTGGGGACAGACTAGGGCCTGGGGGGCAGTTGGGGGGGGGCGCCCAGAGACAGCTGGGTTCATTCCCGCGGTACCGGACTGATGCACACGGCAGACACCACGTGGCCAGGGCCAGGGGGCAGTTGGAGGGCCCGGGGCAGTTGAGGGGCAGTGAGTAGTTGGGGGGGGGAATTAGTGGGTGGGAGGCAGGTGGGGGCCAGTTCGGGGAGGCAGAGAGGATCCGGGACAGGTGGGGGAAGAAGGGAGTAGACGAGGGCTGTCGGGGGGGCAGCTGAGGGCCCAGGAGGGTGGGGGGAACATTCGAGGGGAGTCAGGGAGGCCTGGGGTTCCGGGGGCACTTGGGGGCAGGCAAGAGGCCTGTGGGAACCGGGGAGCAGCAGGGGGGCCTGGGTTCAGGCGGGGGGGCCAGTGGGGGTGGGGTCAGGCAGAGAGTGTTGGGGGGTTGGTGGGGGGAGGCAGGGAGGACCCAGGGCTGGGGGGCAGTTGGGGGATCAGTGGGACAGGCTGGAGGACCGGGGACAGGTGGGGGAACAAGGGGACAGATGGGGCAGTCAGGAGGCTGTCGGGGAGGGCGGGGGGGGACAGCTGCAGGGGGGGCTGGGTTCAGGCGGGGGGGCCAGCGGGGGGTGGGGGCAGGCAGAGAGCACTGGGGGGCTGATAGGGGGGCCGGGGTTCACTCAGGGCAGCCAGCAGGGGACCCAGGGGAAAGTGGGGGAGCAGGGTTCAGGTGGGGGGGTGGGGGTAACAGGGGGCAGTCAGGGGCCCCGGGGTGGCTGGGGGGATCCGGGGGGCCCAAGGTTCATCG